TCATCCAGCTCTACACCTTGTTATCTCTGTATCCAAACTGGGGCAGGCTGGGGACACGACAAACGATGGAGTGTACACAAGAGGCATTTCCTTCCTTAACTTAACAAGAATGTGAAAGAAAGTTACCTGGATATACAGGAAGGTCGCTAACCACTCTCGCTGCTCCATCTGAGTGTCACAGCATACATACCTAAAGAAAGACCAACAGACATGTTCTGTCCACAGGATCCAACACACCCGTCTGTACCCAGCATCAGCACGGGGTTAGATACAGAGTAAAGCTCCGTCTACAATGTCCCCCCCATCAAACACTCCCAGGACAGGGACAGCACGGTGTTAGATACAGAGTAAAGCTCCATCTACACTGTCCCCCCATCAAACACTCCCGGGACAGAGACAGCACGGGGTTAGATACAGAGTAAGTGACCCCTGCTCTTTTAAACTTAATGTAAAGCTCCCTCTCTTCTCATTTAAAGTGAAAGTAAAGCTTTCTCTACTCTTTTATACTGAAAGTAAAGTTTACTCAACACTGTCCCCATGGTATACTCCAGGACTGTTTTACAGGGTGGAAATTAAGCAGTAAATTCAAGTTGGTTTGAACATAGAATGACAGACACCTGGGATCAAGCTACAGTCTCGAATCTAATCGAGGAGTTTGGTGCTCTCTGTAGAGTAACAGAGACATGAAGAAATCCCTGAATCCCAACAATTACTCACCACTGTTGCTTCTCATGCCTTTCCTTGTTCTCATAAACAATGGTGAATCCCCAACTGGAATAGAAGAACACAGAGTTTCATTGTCAGATATTGTCGACCACAATGGATTGTCATGGGAACATGTGGCAGTGTCCCTATCAATCAATGTACTCTCCACAGGAAACCTGGCTCACTTATCCATCTGGTAAATGGTTACTGTTACTGTCCATACATGGGGACACCATCCCCTGCAAGTTCCCCTCCAAGCCACTCACCATCCTTACTTGGAAATATATCGCCGTTCCTTCACTGTCGCTGGGTCAAAATCCTGGAATTCCCTCCCTAAGGGCATTGTCGGTCTATATAAAATGGTTCAAGAAGGCAGCTCACCCCCACCTTCTCAAGGGGCAACAAATGCTGCAATATCCATGTCCCACAAGTGAAGCTCATGGCTCATCTGATAATCCTCATCTCCACTTTTCCCCCTTTTCCCCATAAGCCTCGATTCTCTTCCTGATTAAAAATCTATCTCAGCCTTGAACGCAGCCTCGATAGCCCTCTGCAGTAAAGAATTCCACAGACTCACTCCCCTCTGAGAGAAGAAATTCCTCATCTTTGCCTTCAATGTGTGACCCATTATTGTGAGATGATGCCTCTGGTCCTAGACTCTCCCACAAGGAGAAACAACCTCTCCCCGTCTCCCCTGCCAAGCCTCTCTGCTCCTACGATGCTGCTTGGCCTGCTGTGTTCATCCAGCCCTGCACCTTGTTGTCCCTTAAAAATCTTGTATGTTTCAATAAGATCACCTCTCATTCTTCTAAAGTCTAACAAGTACGGACCCTACCCACTCAATTTCTCCTCATAAAATAATCTCTCTATGCCGGGATCAGCCGAGTGAACCTTCTCTGGACTACCTCCAATGGCAGTCTACCTTTCCTTAGGTAAGGGGCTCAAAACAGCTCACAGAGTTGCAGCTGTGGTCTGATTAATGCCTCGATAATTTTAGCAAAACCTCCCTACTTTTCTGCTCCACTCCTTTTGAAATAAAGACCAACGTTCCATTTGCCTTCCCTATTACCCACGGAACTTGGACACTCACTTCCTTATGCACAACACCCATATTGCCCTGTATCACATAAGGAAGCTGGGGTATCACAGGATGATATGTTACTGCAGTCTTTCTCCAGTCTAATAATATTCTGCTCCCCTGTTTTTCCTGCCAAATTTCATAATCTTACATAAGATTATTACATAATCATTTTCCCACATGATAATCCATCTTATTTTAGCCTATTCACTTAACGTGTCTATATCCCTCTGCAAACTCTCTGTCATTCCAACCCTTTGCCTATTTTTGTGTAACCCACAAACCTGGCAAGAGTACATTCACTGTCCTCATCCAAGTCTTTAATATATATTGTTCTGAACTGTGGCCCCAGCACTGATCCCAGTGGCACACCCTAGGATACAGGAAGCCATCCTTTAAATGCCCCCCTTATTCCAACTGTGTTGTTAGCCAATCCTCTATCCGTGCCAACACACCATCTCCAACACCATGGCTTCTTACTTTATTAAGTAGTCTAATGTGTTATAGGAAGGATATTATTAAACTGGAGAGGTTTTCAGAAGAGATTTACCCGGATGTTGCTGGGTATGGAAGGTTTGAGTTATAAAGAAAGGCTGGACAGGCTGGGACTTTTTTCACTGGAGCATAGCAGGTTAAGAGGCAACCTGATAGAAGTTAATAAAATAATAAGGGGTATAGATAGAGTTAAGGGTAGTTAACTTTTCCCTAGGATGGGGGATTTCAAGACTAGGGGACACATTTTTAAGGTGAGAGAACAGAGGTCTATACATGACATGAGAGGCAATTTTTTTTTTTTTTTTTTTTACACAGAGGGTGGCTCATGTGTGGAATGAACTTTCTGAGGGGTACAGTTACAATGGTGAAAAGACATCTGAATAAGTATATGAATAGGAAATATTTGGAGGGATATGGGCCAGGAGCAGACAGGTGGGACTAGTTTAGTTTGGGATTTTGGTTGGCATGGACTGATTTGACCAAAGGGTCTGTTTCCATGCTGTAGGACTCTATGTGGTATGATCTTTAAGGGTGGCACAGTGGCACAGTGGCTCAGTGGTTAGCACTGTTGCCTCACAGCGCCAGTGACCCCGGGTTCAATTCCACCCTCTGGTGACACACTGTGTGGAGTTTGCACATTCTCCCTGTGTCTGCGTGGGTTTCCTCCGGGTGCTCCAGTTTCCTCCCACAGCCCAAAGATGTGCAGGTTAGGGTGGATTGGCCATGCTATATTGCCCCACAGTGTTCAGGGATGTGCGGGTTAGCCATGGGAAATGCAGAGTTACAGGGATTGTGGGTCAATGTGGACTTGATGGGCTGAATGGCCTTTTTCCGCACTGTAGGGATTCTATGATTCTGTATCAAATGCCTCTTCTAAATCCAAATATATTACACCCACTGCTTCCCTTTCATTTATCCCATTGTTTTCCTTCCTCAGAGAATTCCACTAAATTTGTCAGGCATGGTTTCCCCTTCATGAAGCCAAGCTGACCCTCCTTGATCATACTGTGTATTTCTAAATGCCCTGCTATTGCATCCTTTATGATAGATCCGAACATTTCCCCAGTGATAGAACAGCTGGTGGCAAAATTTGAAATCAATAGAAATCTGGCATAACAAATTAAATCCTGATATCATTTAGGGTTAGAAATCAGCCACATATGTGACTCCAGACCCGCAGCAATGTGGTTGATTCTGAAGCAGCCAGCCAACCTGAGGTCAAGGGCAATTAGGGACGGGCAGAAAGAACTTACAAGAACATTTTGCTTACCATGTTGGTGGTTTAAATTTCTTCTTCACTCCAAGATAGACCTTCAAACTCTTCACTGGCCATTCCTTCTCAGGTTTATTGCTCTGTTACAAAGACAAACTTCCTCAGGAACAAACTAATACAGCAGCTCAGGGGCAGTTAGATCAACAACTTCAATCTATAACTAACCCCGTGCTGTCCCTGCCCTGGGAGTGTTTGATGGGGGGACAGTGTAGAGAGAGCTTTACTCTGTATCTAACCCCATGCTGTCCCTGTCCTGGGAGTGTTTGATGGGGACAATGTAGAGGGAGCTTTACTCTGTATCTAACCCCATGCTGTCCCTGCCCTGGGAGTGTTTGATGGGGACAGTGTAGAGGGAGCTTTACACTATGTCAGACACAGTTTAATGTATGAACTGAGCAGTGTGTCTCCAGCTGCCCCAGCACTAGCGCCCCCGAGCGTTAGGTCTGGAATCTATCCTTGCCTCAGGAAAAAGATCTCATTCTTACACAATTGGCTGCAAAGCAAAGAGATAGCCAGCTGGTTGTTTTTGAATGGTTTGGGGACGATGGGCTGAAGGGTCTCGTTCTTTGCTGTAAATGTCTATGACTGTATGACTTCACCCTGGGGGACATTTTCCGATGGGGGTCCGTGGGGCCTAGAACCAGAGTGAATCTCCCAGGAGCCCAAACACTGACTAGTCCCCACACCCAGGGCCAGGACCCACACCCTCGGGGAGGGCCAGGACACTGACCATTCACCCTCCACCCACTCAGGGAGGGCCAGGACACTGAGCGGTCCCCCCCCACCCTCTCGGAGAGGGCCAGGACACTGACCGGTACTCCCCCACCCACTTCGGGAGGGCCAGGACACTGACTGGTTCCCCCACACAGCCCCTCGGGGGAGGGCCAGGACACTAACCGGTCTCCCCCCCACCTCCTCGGGGATCACTGGGTCAGCGACCTCCAGGTCAGGGATTACCAGGTTAGGACTGGGTCAGGAATCAGGATCGGGATTGGGTCGGGGATCAGTGGGTCAGGGATCAGGATTGGGATTGGGTCGGGGATCACCGTGTCAGGAATGAGGATCGGGATTGGGTCGGGGATCAGTGGGTCAGGGAGAGCAGGATGCCGATCTGATGGATTGCCCTGGGTGGGTGTAAGCCTGTTATGGTCTCTCAGGGCCGGGTGGTCACTTACCCGCACTTCCTTGTAGAGTCTCAGGGTGAAGCCGGTCAGCATGAAATAACGGTCACTGAAACTGCCCACTCCCAATCCCAGTTTCCTCTCCTCCCGGAATTTCACCATGCCGTGTTTCTGATCGGCCACTTTACTGGCTGGGAATTGGGATGGGGCAGACAGAGAGAGAGAGAGAGAGAGACCATATCAGTCTAATCTGCAATGATGCGTTGGATATCGTTTCCCGTACATCCCGATGGGGGGGTGGGGTGGGGCGAACAGGAAGTGTGCTCTTCATCAAAGAGGGAACGAACCCAGACAATCCTGTGTTTCACCAGAAATGGCAGCTTTCAGAGGGGCACCATGACATGATCATCCAAATCCCACCATCCTGTCCCACCGATCAGCTCCACCTTTAGATAAGGTTTCACATACGGAGCAAGTGGGCACACAAAAACCTCAACACCATCCAGGACAAACCAGCCCGCTTGATTGGTACCATATCCACAAACATCCACTCCCTCCACCACCGACGCTCAGCCGCAGCAGTGTGTACTATCTACAAGATGCACTGCAGAAATTCACCAAAGATCCTCAGACATCACCTTCCAAACCCACGAGCACTTCCATCTAGAAGGACAAGGGCAGCAGATACATGGGAACACCACTGTCTGCAAGTTCCCCTCCAAGCCACTCACCATCCTGACTTGGATTGTACATTCCAGACCCTAACCCCTCGAGTGACCCTGCCTCCCCCACACTCTCAGACAGTACATTCCAGACCCTAACCCCTCGAGTGAACCTGCCTCCCCCCACACTCTCAGACAGTACATTCCAGACCCTAACCCCTCGAGTGATCCTGCCTCCCCCCTACACTCTCAGACGCTGCATTCCAGACGCTGACCCTCACTCATTTGGCGATTGCCTATCTTACAGAACCACCTTCAGCATGTACCTCTCCTTTCTCGATCCTGGTACAACGTGAAACAGTTTCTCCTAATTTATTCTGTTCAGTTGCCTCTGGATTTTGATCAAATTTTCTCCGAGCCTTCTCCTCTCTGAAGAAAACAGCCCCAACCTCTCCACTCCATCCTCATTAATATAACGGCCCTCATCCCTGGAACAATTTGTTTCACCCCTCCACCCCTCCCCCTCACGTTCCCACAACTCCTCTCCTCCTCACGTTGTCCACCTACCCCTCATCATTCTGACTTTTCTCCCTTCCCCACTTTTCCCATCCTCTTCCCCTTCACATTGCCCACTCCCCACCTTCACTTTCCCATCCCAACATTCTCCCATCCCCCTCACGTTTGGCCCTCCCCACTTCCGTCACGCTCCCCCCTCTCATATTTCCCCTTTCCCGCTATCCTTCCCCTCCTTTGCGTGTTCCATAAATAACCCCCTCCCAACATAAAGGCCTGAAAAACCAGCCCCGGCCCTGGCCCTGGCCCCAGGCCCCAGCAGCAGGCCCAGGCCCCAGGCCCCAGCCCCCACCCCAAGGCTGAATGTCCCAGGCCCCAGGCCCCAGCAAAGTCCCACTCCCAGGCCACAGACATCAGGTCCTACTCCATCCCCAGTCCTCAGGCCCCAGCAAAGTCCCAGCACCAAGCCCCAAGCCCCAGGCCTGAGACAGCAGGCCCCACTCCATCCCCAGTCCCCAGGCCTCAGGCCCCGTCAAAGTCCCAGCCCCAGGCACAAGGCCCCACCCTAGGCCCCAGGCCCCAGGCACCAGGCCCCAGGCTCCACCAAAGTCCCAGCCCCAGGCCCCAGGCCCCAGGCCCTGCCCAATGTATGAACAGTGCCACCCTCCTGCCTCACAGTGAGACCAGGCGGTATGGCCACTGGCAGTGGAGTACATACCCAAATACATCAACATGGTGTCAATGGCCATGTTCTTCTTCACCACTAGATAGCTGTCAGCACCCAGCGACTGCAGGATGGGTAAAACCTTCTCAGTGTAATGTAGTGGTCGTTCTGAAAGACAAATGGAGGTTGTTAAAACACAGGAGAAACGTTTATTTATAACTATAATGACAACACTGTGCTGACAAGGCAGAAACAGGCCTTTTGGCCCATCTACACAGTGTTGCTGTTTATGCTCCTTCTCCTGCACTCTCTTCGCTTCTCCCTATCATCGTAACCTTCTATTCCTTTCTCCCTGGGGTCCACGTCCGCCATTTGCCCCAACACCACCCCCCGGGTCACAGAGAGAGCTCCACTCTCTCACCTCAGAATCCTCCATGGGAAACGTGGTAGGGGCCATTTTGTTGTGAACCAATGTGATTCCTCACCCAGTTCATCATCAGAGAAGGGCTGGGGTGGGCCGGTGGAAGAGGCAGACAGGAAATTGGAGCTGAGATAACAACCACACGACCTTACTGAGCGACAGAGCAGCCTTGACAAGGCAAATGGCGTCTCCTTGCTCCCATGACTGAAGGGGAAACATTCTTTTTTCTTTATTCATTCACGGGATGAGGACATTGCTGGCTAGGCAGCATGTATTGCCCATCCCTAATTGCACTGAGGGCAGTGAAGTGTCAACCATGTTGCTGTGGGTCTGGAGTCACATGTAGGCCAGACCAGGTGAGGATGGCAGTTTCCTTCCCTAAAGGACATCAGTGAACCAGATGGGTTCGACCAATAATCGACATTGGGTTCATGGTCATCATTAGATTCTTAATTCCAGATATTTTATTGAATTCAAATTCCACCATCTGCCGTGGTTCGAACCCGGGTCCCCAGAATATATCTGGGTCTCTGGATTAACCGTCCAGTGATAATACCATTAGGCCGTTGGCCGGAGGATGGGGAGAACTGTCCCCACCTCCTCCCTGAGGGGTCACAGAGATTTCCCACAGGCCGCACAAGGAGGCATTGGGCCTCTCTTTGACCCCAGCTCGGGGTTGGGGAGAACACTCTCTCAAGCTCCAAGCCCAAGTTTCCGTCACCATGAGAATGCTTGGCTCCTCAAAACGGTGCTGCCATTCCCATGGAAATCCTCAATTCCCTGCCCAACAAGAATCTCTCCACATCTGTCTTTACCGCACTCCAAAGTCAAACAACCCTCTAAGTAAACAATGCCTCTCACCTCTGTCCTGGGAGGGTGACCCTGAACTGTAAAACAGCGCCTCCTGGACCTGGGCTGACCCACAAGGGGAAACATCCTTTCCACATGCACCTCGTCCAAACCATTCAGGATCTGATACATTTCAATCAATTCACCCCCTCGCTCTCTAAACCTCAGTGGAAACAAGCCCCCAGTCTGTCTAACCTTTCCCCCAAAAGATATCCCGCTCACTCCAGGTATCAATGCAGTAAACCTCCTCTGAACCAGCTCCAATACATTTACAACCTTCCTTAAATAAGGAGACTAAACTGCACACATTATTTGAGATGTGATCTCACCCAAAGCTCTCTCTAACTAAAGTATACAGGAAAGGCAACTACCACTAGACTCTTAATCCAGAGACCCAGCTAATGTTCTTCAGCCAGCCATCGATGTTGCACTGACACTCGGGTGGGTGGGGAGCGATGGCCTGGTGGTATTACCCCTGGACTGTTAATCCAGAGACGCAGAGAATGTTCCAGTTTGAATCCCGCTACGGCTGGTGGTAGAATTTGAACTCAATAAATATCTGGAATTAAGACTCTAATAATGACCGTGAATCCATTGTTGAATGTCAGGAAAAACCCATCTGGTTCACTAATGCTCTTTCGGGAAGGAAACTGCCATCCTTACCCGGTCTGGTCTACATGTGGCTCCAGACCCACAGCAATGTGGTTGACTCTTAACTGCCCTCTGGGCAATTAGCGATGGGTAAGTGACTCCCACATCCCATTAATGAATTAAAATAAACTACATGTGCTGTCCAATACTGTGATTTGCCAACTGACAATCATCTAAACAGGAAGTTGCTGCAAACTCCAAGTGAGGGATTGGTCATGTTGCTGGACTAGGAACCCTGAAGACATGGCTTCAAATCCCACCACATCCAGCTGGTGGAATTTAACTGGAATCTAATACCCTTCAGGGAAGGAAATCTGCCATCTTTGTCCAATATGGTCTACGTGTGACTCCAGACCCACAGCAATGTGGTTCATTCCAAAACGACTGAGTGAGACCTTCAGTTCAAGGACCGTTGTGGATGGGAAACAAAAGCTGGTTGGTCAGTGATGCCCATGTCTATAGTAATGAGCAGTTCCGGCATTATCTATGGAGACTAAAACAGTGGTAATGATGCACAGGTGAGGAACTCAACTAAGGAAGTGTCCCTCAATCCGAAACGTTAACTCTGTTTTCTCCTTCACAGATGCTGCCAGACCTGCTGAGCTTTTCCAGCAACTTCCGTTTTTGTTCCTGATTTACAGCATCCGCAGTTCTTACGGTTTTATTGGGGAAGTTGCCTACTTCTTCAATGCTGCATGACCCCAGACCCACATCTCCAGCCTTTGTGGATATCTGCACAATTCAGGTTTTGTACAAAATGTTACAGGATATACCTAACCAGTCCTAACAGACAGGGTCTCTCCCTGGAATATAGATTGTCCACATTCAGGAGGTGGGGAGGCAGGGCAGGAGAGGGATAGGCCAATGTGAAGAGGATGTATTCAAACAGAAAGTGTTTCCAAGACTTTTAAAAACACTGAGAGCTTGAGTCATTCTATATTCATTGGATAGACTCATAGAGATATACATCATGGAAAGAGACTCTTCGGTCCAATTCATCCATGCTGACCAGACATCCTAAATTAATCTAGAACCATTTACCAATATTTGGCCTATATCCCTCTAAACCCTTCCTATTCACGTACCCATCCAGATGCTTTTTAAATGTTGTAATTGTACCAGTCTCCACCACTTCCTCTGGCAGCTCATTCCATACACGCACCACCCTCTGTGTGAAAAAGTTGCCCCTCAGGTCCTTTTTAAATCTTTCTCCTCTCACCTTAAAACTATGCCCCTCTAGTTTTGGACTCCCCCACCCCGGGGAAAAGACCTTGCCTACTCACCCTATCCATGCCCCTCATGATTTTATAGTACTGACTGTATGGAGACCATTCTGCCCATTCTATCTGTGCCTGCTTTCCATCTACTAGTGTCCCCCATTCTCCCCCTCTTCCTGTAACGCTTCAATTAACAGTCAATACCAATGTTCACTCCAAGCTTCACAGCAGCAGGTAACATCAGAGAGAGCACACTCCGAGACCCTAATCCCTCGAGTGAACCTGCCTCCCCCCACACTCTCAGACAGTACATTCCAGACCCTAACCCCTCGAGTGACCCTGCCTCCCCCACACTCTCAGACAGTACATTCCAGACCCTAACCCCTCGAGTGACCCTACCTCTCCCACACTCTCAGACAGTACATTCCAGACCCTAACCCCTCGAGTGAACCTGCCTCCCCCACACTCTCGGACAGTACATTCCAGACCCTAACCCCTCGAGTGAACCTGCCTCCCCC